TAGGAAACGTTCTACAGAAGAGAGAACAGAGAGAGGCTAGAAAAGAGGTTAGAGGGAGAGAGGAGAACAACAGAGTTAGAATAGAGAAGAGAAGGAAAAAGAAGGTAAATAACAAGGGGCGGCGGGAAAGAGAAAAAATTACCTAAGAGGCACACATTTGAAGGAGATATTAAGACAAATTTCATGCAGGTATTGGTTACTTTCAATTCATATTACTTTCACTTGTTTGGAAGTCATCATTCATTCTTGACTGAACTCTACTTCAGAAGTGTTCCCAACTTGTGTCGATTTGATTGACAAAGGATGGTGAAACACAACTTTTGGTTCTGTCCACAAAGTCTACTTCCAGCTTCCCCACTACCAAGTATCTCTACTTGAGATTTGATTTGAGTAATAGGATTACAGTAAATGGTTTCCTGCTTACATAAACCATCCTAGGAGGAAGAGTTGTTGGGGTTGTTGATAAAGTTAAGGGAGGTGTTCCCATATCAGGCTTTCTTGTTTGGTGGTAGGTTATGGCCTGCAGCTATTGATTTGGAAATTGAAGGAAAAGAAAATTAATCCGTCTGTTTTTGCAATCATCTGCTCTTAAATTTCCCGAGGTTGGTCAGATACGTCCTCCTGCTGGGCAGTTTGGAAGAAGATTTTTTTCGGCAGATAGAGGAGTGAGTGACATATTTGGAAGAATAGATAAGAGATAAGTACAATTCTTGGGCAGTGGTGTCATGTGTCCCTTTTCTAGGCGGTGGGGTTGATCATTTAAATCTCTTTCTTTTGGTCCTTAAAAACTTTCTTATTAAAAATAAATATTTGCAATCTTCAGTAGCATGTGAATTTGCAGAGATTAATCCAATATCCTCAAGTTTCTGGCCTTGAACCTGATATACATTAGAAGTGATAGATGCAGCTGATTTAGTCTCAGAAAAACACAGTTTTCATCCATTCCCTTGTGATTTTTCTATTAGTGGATTTCTGAAATGGTTGGCATATGATCCTTGCAGGGAAGTTATTCTGCAAAAGCAGGACATTTGCCTTTCAGTTTAGTCACTTTATCCATTTCTTTGTACTGTACATATCATAATTTTGTGTGCTATTACCTGGAACTCAGCTAATTTTTTTCTGCTTTCCTACATGTTTGAAAAATCTAGAAATCCTCTAGATATTGATTTGTAATTATGTATCAATTTAAACTAGTAAAAGCAATCCATATCAAACAATCAAGACAAATAGACACAATGATTTTAACGTGGAAAACCCTACTTGACAGAATTAGCCCTCCTCTTCTTCTCAAACCCTTCCCCAAACGACATCCACTTCCCCCAGCGAGTTGAAGATGGAGATGATTGAAGACAGCGACATCCAAACGATTCAGAAGAAAGCCGAACTAGATCGAGGGTGTGGATTGCTCGATAATTTAAAATTAATTTTTTCATCTTTTACACACGCTATTTATGAATTTCCAATTCTCGAAATAATTCCTTGGAATTATTGTACTACCTGACAAGTTGAGATACGCTTACATGTATTTTAAAATCAATCTATCTGAGCTGGGGAGTGGTTATTTTAGCTAAAAAAATCAAAAAGTCAACTAAAACTAGTCACATCACCTCTCTATTTTTCTGCACATCTTTTTGTAAAAAGTCAAAAAATTACTAAAATAGCCTATTCTCAAACGAGGCCATCTGCTCTTAAATTTTCTGAGGTTGATGAGATACGTCCTCCTGCAGGGAAGTTTGGAAGAAGATTTTTTTGGCAGATAGAGGAATGAGTGACATATTTGGAAGCATAGATAAGAGATAAATACTCTCCTTGGGCAGTGGTGTCATATATCCTTTTTCTAGGCTTAAACCTGATATACATTTTTTTTCCCCATCTTTTACACTGTGTTTGGATGGTAATTTAGGGTGAGATTTGGAAACGGAAAGGGAAAATATGTGTGAAATTAGATAGGATGTAGGTATATTTTATTCACATTTTTCTTATATTTTTCATTTCTCTTTCTAAATCTCTCCTCAAATACCCAACCAAACCCAGCACAATGCAGCTGATTTAGTCTCAGGAAAACACCGTTTTCATCCATTTCCTTGTGATTTTCCTATTAATGGATTTCCAAAGTGGTTGGCCTGTGATCCTTGCAGGGAAGTTATTCTGCAAAAGCAGGGCATGTGGCTTCCAGGTTAGTTACTTTATCCATTGCTTTGTCCATTTCATAATTTTGCGAACACTTTACTCAGGAATGAAGCTTCATGCTTGTTTTTTTCAAACCCATCTTTTCCATTTTTGTTTTCTCAGGCTTGGGAGACAATAATGAAAATTTGCTTACAAAAATACTGTGCTCTCATCATCTCTCTTTCAATTACCCACCCGCGACCACCTTACCACGGCTGCTGTAAAGTCAATATATGTACATTATATAGTAAAGTAAACTTCAATTGGTTAAATATCACTCTTAAATGTGTTTTACATTGTCTTTTCAATTATTTAGGAGTTGTTTGGAATGATCTAAATAAGTGTATTTTTTGACTTTTTATGAAATATGGGTTGGGTTTGGATTGGATTTGAAATGATGTGCTAGAGAGGTGATGTGACTTAAATAAGATGATGTGACTTAAATAGGATAGTGACTTTTTGACTTTTTGTCTTTTTCAAGACATGCCAAACTTAGCCTTAATCTTTTATGATTTCCCCTTTGCAGTTGCTCTGCGTAGAGTTTCCAGGTTGAAATACTGTTTTTTTAATTTATTATTTGACTGTTCAATAATTTTTTCATTACCCTTGATCTGAAAATAAATTAATTGATTAGTTGACACCAATATTTCACTAACACCAATATTTCATAACAAAAGGCCACAATGCCTCGTAACTAAAATTAATTGGGTAAGTTACTTTAAGAGTCCTCAACTATTAAATCTATACATAATGTAATAGAAATAAGTCATGTAAATAAATTTTATTTTTTTTAAAATAGAAATTATTAATTTGGATATATTGCCATAAACCAATACAGTTGGGAAGTAAAATTACAATCATATTAATTACTGTATTGAAACTTTGCTATGTCAAACATATTATTGAGCCACGGATTTCACATTGCTACCTATGACTTTATATTTTGAAACTTTTTGTTTTTTTTTTTTTTTAAAAAAAAAAAGGGTCTTGTTAACATGTTTCCATATGGCATATGAAGAAATTTAAAAAGATTGTACTTTCTTTATTACATTTATTTTAAAAAGAGTTAATTATCTAAAAATCCTATTTACAAATGTTATGGTTGCTCAGGTCCTATTTAAGATTTTTTGAACCAATAAGTTCTATTTAGTAAAACTGAGAATATTAACAATTTTTTTTTCTTTCCAACTTTTCAAATTAAGAACGTTATCAATTTTGCATAGTAATATTTTAGATAATTCTTTCACTAATTGATGAAAAAAATAGAATATGAGATTAAAATAATTCAGTTTTTTCATTTTAGTTTTCTTTTCTTTTCTTTTCTTTTTTGCACATTTTTTTTAAATTTTTTTTTGTCAATTTGAAAGTTAATGTTTTAAAGTTTTGAAAATCAAAATAAATATCAAATCGTTATGTTCCTTTATGGATAATCATAAATGAAGAATAATCATTGTTTTAAAAGGCAATTTCAACTATTAAAAATTTAATGAGACTTGAAAGTCTAAAAAATTTTATTTAGGATTTAATGAAGTATAAGTTCATAAAGTAGGACTTGTGTGGAAATGTTCCTTTTAAAAATGCACATTCTTATTACACTTTCTTAACATGTGTCCTCAAAATACACATTAACAAAATCTTTTTTAAATTATATAATATCATATATCAGTAAATAAAATAAAAACTTTCCAGCCCAGTTTATTATTAATAGCAAGGACAGCCCACATGGTTAAATAATAATTTGATATTTATTTTGATTTTCAAAATTTTAAAATATCAACTTTCAAATTGACAAAAACGGGAAAAAAAAAAAAATTACGAGCAAAAAAAATATATGTACTAGTTTTGTGTAAGTAAGCATTGCTCGCATCGAGCTGCTGTAAAGTCAATATATGTACATTATATAGTAAAGAAAACTTCAATTGGTTAAATATCACTCACTACAAGAATTAACACTTTTGCCGACCAAAAAATTGGTCGCTAAAAGCCCATTTTTGGTCGGCAAAAGTTATCCGCGACCAATTTTTTTGGTCGCCAATTGAGGGTCGGCAAAAGTAATTCGCGACCAAAATTTTGGTTGGTCGGGAAAAGTCGAATTTGCCGACTAAATTTTTGGTCGCGAAATATGTCATTACCGCGACTAATTCATTTAGTCGCTAAAACACTTTGGTCGCGAAAAGTGATATTTTCCCGACCAAAAAGTTTGGTCGCCAATTATCACATTCAACGACCAAAAAGTTTGGTCGCCAATTGTGACATTCCGCGACCAAAAATTTTAGTCGCCAATCGTGACATTCTGCGACCAAAAAAATTTTGGTCGCCAATCGTGACATTCCGGGACCAAACAATTGTGACATTTCACGACCAAAAAAAGTTTTGGTCGCCATTTGTTACTTTTCGCGACCAAAACTTTTTGTCGGCAATAGATGTATTTTTTGCGACCAAAACTCTTGGTCGGCAATTGTCATTTTTTGCGAAAAAAAATTATTTATTTGTCGCAACTAATAAATTGGTCGCCAAAGCAGGAAAACAATACACCTGTAATTCCTAATAATTCATTCAATCCATAATAAACTTATAATTTTAAAGTAGGAAGTACTTTCACTAAGTTCACTAAGTACTTCCATAATAAACTTATAATTTTAATTCATTCAATCTAGAACTGGATGGAAACCTCACTAAGTACTTTCACTTTAGCAGGAAGTAAATACCCCAGCTAGCTAAAGTTCCTTGCTTATAAGCTAGGCCCAAAGTATGCAAGATTACCAAAGAATAAATATAGCCAAAAAAACACAAGTACATGCAATCATTAAATGACAAAAAAAAAAATACTAGACTAAAGAGGTGAACCTTTTCAATAAGATCCAGGACATCTTGATTGTCAACAAATTATATAGCTCCAGTTGATCTCCTCTTTTGTGTACTCTTCTTGCTCCATCTTGAACACATGCTGAATGATACAACAATGCTTTGACTGTAAGTCAAGGATGTGAATTACAAGATGTTATTAAATATGATGAGCATTATACCTGGTTGAAATGTTGCTGCAGCTTCTCATTTGTGAAATTAATACAAAAATCAGTATCAACTAAAATTGAAACATCCCTGCTAACTGTATATCATTCGAGTTAGGATCTTGTCCAATTGAAACATTAATTGTATCAACTAACCTGTATATCACAAAAATCAGTCAGCTTTAGCATCACACGCTTAGTTAAAACAAAATCCAGAGACATAATCATGAAAGTGAAAACAATGATGCAAACTCCCATATCTTACCAGTCAAACAAACGGTAATATATTGTCTTAGCTAAACCATCCCTGCTAACAAACGGTAATATATAGTCACTAGGGGGCACAAAGCTCATGCATATACCAAAAGAAACCATATCCACCAAGAACATTCCATTTGACCAAAATTTGGTAGATAGGAAAGAAAGCAATATTTATGAACAAAGTTCCATTTCTCACAACTCAATGGGACAAAGATGTTAGAACTATGCATTGACAGTGACACATTGTAAAGCAGAAAGAGATGAAGAACTAAAACAACAAACAAATGAGCCGATTATAGCTGATGAGAATAATAAGGATGGTTCAAATCAGCTGCATATGTGCCTCGATGGTTCAAATCAGCATCGGACATGTCCTTTACTCCTAACAGAAACAAAGAAGTTTTTTCAATTTTACTCTATTAAAAAAAATGTGGAAATATGGCAAACACATTTTCGGATACAAAGGCTATACTTGATTTTTCTGACTGATTCCAACAATATCCATAGCTCTCCTAGTGGCAAGATAATCATGAGCATCACTTATACCAACGAGGAGTCATATGCCCCACTTCAACTTTTGATAATATAAAAAAAACAACGCCCACTTAGTACACATTAATGTGTGTTTGGGAGGGTAAAGATTGAGTCCACACCTAACCTTTGGCATAATACACAAAGTGGTGGTCCCAAGACTTGAACCCATAACCTCAAGGTTATTAGGCCAAGTCTTAACCATTGAACCAATGGTCACCCCATTTTTTCATTAATATAATTTTAAAATAAAATTATTATCTTTTTAAGACCGTGCATGCATCCTATAATGGGATTTGTAAAGGGAAACAAAAATGGAAGCCAAAGAAATCCACGACCAAGTACAATAGTATATCTTGCAGCACAGGAAACAAATACAATGGGATATGGAATTCAACTTCAAGTAATACCTAAGTTCAGAAGCATCAGACTGAAGAGAGGCCTGAATAGCAACTTCCTCGTATGCTGAAGCAGGGTGACTTACTGGCTGGTTTTGTGGAGGTGTGAATAATGGTACACTGTTTTCCTCTCTGGGAGGAAATTCTACTCCAGCAGCCTGAGAATTACAACATAATAGCCAACTGATTGAATTTAATCAATTGCACAGAAGAACTAAAACCATAAATTTCAAACATGAAATAGCATCCTGGAAGGATCAAGGTTTTGACCAATAAAAAGTCAGTGATTGTAAAAATCTTGATGATTAAAATACCACACATTGACATCCTGCGTAAGTAATAGAGGGTTGACACATTGACATCCTGCAGTTCTCTTGTGACAAAATCCTTCCATTTCTACCTTTAGCTTAATGCCATTGATGGATCAAAGTGAGATCCGAGTTTCCACCAAATTTGGCCAATTATGAATTCAAATTTGACATGCAGTTAGCACAAAATTTAAACTGATTTCACGGAATCCAAGTAATACTTTTAGAGGACAATTTTGTAACATCATCAAATAAAATAAGGTATTTAAAAGGTTTTAGACTCAAAATCACAAACCCATAATCACCTTCAGTTCATTAAATGCTGCATAATACTGTGGATGCCTTCCCCGAGGTCCTCCCAATGCTTCTTGCCATGTATCTATCAAAATTAACATCTTCTCCCTCACATTTAAATCAGGCTTCAACTTTTGATATTTACACTAATACCCCTATACATAAAGATTATATCTTGTTTATCCCCCATAAAATTGCAATAGTGCCCCTCCTTAAATCATGTAAAATTCCTTTGTGTTTTTTTCATTTTAAAAGTGTCCTATTTTATTCTTTTGGCCATTCTTGCACACTCTTAACTGGGAGGTCAACGGCAAGAATTGAATCAATTGATCATTTCTTTCTCATTATGGGATTTGTTTAGTTGGTTGTTTCTTCCCATTGTGAAGCTCTTTGTTCAGTTGATAGGAGGACTTGTTAATTGTGTTGGTTATTTCTCCCTATTGTTGGGTTAATACAATTGGGTTGTTGATTGTGGCCTTATAAGCCATGTTGGTGTAATTCTCATGATAATTGTAATATTGTATCTCACAGATAGACCAAAAAGACGAAGAAAAATTTGTGTAAGTTTAATAACATCTCGTTGTTGCTTTTTATGGGGAAAACAATTTCAAAGTTGTGATTAATATGTGCCCCTCTATGTTGAACTTCTGGCTCTGCCACTGTCCATGATAGACATCAATACACAGACCATGTGGCAGAGTTTGAACCTCAAAAAATAAGTCCCAAGACATTTACATGATCCTTGACAGGACAAGCACCACTGACCATTTAAACATTAACAAGCATAAAACTAGAGTTAGATCATCTATCTGTCATAATTTCAGAGTACGATAGAATATTATGACTGAGCCATCCATAGCTGCATGAATTCATTGATTTCTCTCACCAGGGTGAACATTAATTAACTAATATCATAAACTAAAGGTGAAGACAGTCTTACATAAATTTCATTGGTCTGATATCTCAGTGCCAAATTCTGCAAAACTCCAGGCTCATGCAAATATGATAGCTTAGTCATGTCATCGACTCCACCAGCAGGAGCTTCCATAACCTTTGGATAAATTTTCGATAAACTAGCAACAACCTGACCATAGAAACCAGGGGAAATTTCAAGTAGATGAATGAAGCCAAATAACTAAATCAACAGACATAATATTCAATTTACAAATGTTGAAGTCAAGTTGCACAGGTATTCATTATTTCACATGGAATTGTCAAAAACTAAGGAATACATGCAAAAGTACTTTTTTTTCCATTCATTAACCAGGATAGGCATATGAAATAGTATGATATAATGAATTTTTTGAAAAGAACCAATCAATTTTCAGGTTGAAAACCAGACAACTCTCAATTATTAAAGAAAATACAGAGAACACAAACAGTTCACTTTTGAGGAAATGCAACTTCAGTGGTAGATACAGATCTTACTTTTGAAGATCCAAAAATATATGAAATTGTACCACACAAAATAAACAACATACATCGTAATTACCAAGTAATTCATAGAAAATAGATTTAAACCACACGATGTAATTAGACTAGGGAGTGGAGTACTGAAATATACAACACACAGAAATAAACCCAAGAAACATCTGATTTTTGGAAATCGTCTTGCTTTGACTTAAACTAAGTTAACCTTTTAGAGAAGAAAAAGTTACATTCATGCAGTCATTATCCATAGTGGCTGTCCAGTGATTTTAAATGCTCAAGGCACACCAAGGCGCCAGATTCAGGCGTAGGCGCAAGGTGAGGCGCACCTTTTTGGTAAGAAATAGATAAACTAATAATTCAAACTTGAACAAAAGCAAAATGAAAGAACACAGGTAAATTGTAGAAGAATTCTCAAAGCCATAAAAGCCACATATCATTCCAAATGCAAAATAGTCAACATTCAACAAAACTAATAATTACTAAGCTTTACTCTAATAGTCATTCTGTATCAAATTTTATTGTCCTTAGATAATTTATTGCTTGTACCAGAATAACCTAAACATTAATAATTACAACATTATTTTAGCTAACAATTTTTAAAGTTAGAACTTTAATTTTGAAGTTAGTAATATTAATTTCACTATTTGACTTATAAAAATATGTCTATTATATGAAAAGTATAGTGATGCGGCATGCAAAACTAATACTTGATGGGGAGGATTATTTCATCGTTGGCGACATCTACTGACCATAAGAACAATTCAGCCCACCATAAAACAAACTACAGCTTGATGGTAGTTAAATTTTCAAAATTCACTGCACCTTATAATTATAAATAAGTTTCATTAGTTATGAAATTAGCCGTAGAGAATGAGGAAAAAAGACTAGACATAGATAGGAACACAGTGAAGATCTTAGCTCATAGTATAACAATCAACTAAATGGTAAAAACATAACCCTTATTTCGTGTATTTCCCTTGAACCCATACCTAAATGTGGTCCATTAGGTAAGCCAAAGGCACTCCTGCCTTCCTAAGATCCCACAAAACTCAACCTATAGTTCTGACAGATTAGAAATGACAATCTACAGAACAAGCAGTCTCATTAAATAAACAATCACTGTAACTCTTATCAATTCTCGAGTCTTTTTAAGCCAACGTACTAAAGTTAAAGTTACTCTTAATTATCTCCCAAAAGCAGATAATTCCAAGAAATTATTCAGTCACTTGAATTCCTTGAACATTTAACTGTGAATAAAAATAAATAATACTCACAAATTCAGCAACAAAGTGTTGAACAAACTTGATTAGTTAGAGATATTATGAAAGGAAACATATTTCATTATGCCACTTAGATTGTTTCGTGCAGTGCAGTGCCACTTAGATTATTTCATTATGCCATTTCATTATGCCACTTAGATTTTTGAACCTTTTTTTTTTCTTTCCCATTTTGTCAATCTTTATTTTGAACAGCTACAGCAAGCAACAAAGTTTGGTTCCTCCTCAAAAGATTGTTTTTGCCATTAAGGATGTTAATTATTAAAGAGAATGAGAGGGGAAACAAACTATTAGAATCAAAGTAAATTTCAGGGCTTGAATAAATGAAGTAATCCTGTGTTTAGCATTGTCATAACTTTGCATCAGTTCTGAATACATCCCAGTAGCAGCATCTGTAGGTTTAAAAATAAATAATTAGTCAAATAAATGTGAAACGAACAATGCACAGAGATCGTAGAGTGATACAAAGTGCAATCAAAGGCAAAACCTTAAACATTGTTAAGAGTGAAATATATCTTACGAGCACATTGGGACGCAATCTTTCATACTCCCATCTTCAGGTCTTGTCTAACCACCAAAACCTGCCATCACAATTTCCCAACTTGGAATTTGGAAATCAGAATTAAAATAAAATAAAAAATAAAAAAATAAAAACTAGTAAATGCATGAATCATCTTCAAAGTCAAATGAAACCAGTTATATCTATATCTATACCTACATCTTTCACCTTTATGTGCTCACATGACTATATAAGAAATTGAATAGAATCGTATATATCTTACAACACTGCAATCAAAAGTCCACTATCAAAGTAACAATAAACTGGGTATATTATTCTCTGCTTAGCAATATTTAGGAAAAAAATTAATTAACCAACAATTTGGGCTTGTAACTATCATCTGTCCACTTACATTTATTAACTATTGTAATTGGATCACCCAAAAAAAGCACTTTTTTGCAATTATATTGCAAAATATATATATACAATAATAAGGAAAACGGAAATGGCCATTGCCCAGTGCTGGTCTACATTAGTCGAGGATTCCAGATTGGGTGGATTGGTATGGATCTAACTTTTCTTCTTATTTACACAAAGTCGTAGTTCATTGCACTAAAACCCACATTCTCATGGTTATAAGCTCGAATTTTTAACAATTATATTAATAAAACAGGATGTTCACCATTGACAAACAATCTTAGTCACACAGAGTGACACAGATCTGAATAACACAAAAAAATCAGAGATCGGAGAGGAAAGAGAGACAGACAGCGACATAGAGATCCGTACCTGGGAGGTCGATCGGTGCGATGAGAGTATGAGGTCGATCGGTCAATCTTGGGATGAGTGAGAGTCGATCTCTTGCGAGGTTGATCGGCCGAGATGAGTGATGAGATGAGAGTGAGAGAGTGAGTATGAGAGACTGATCAGATGAGAGTGAGAGACTGAAAAACGAGAGAGAGTGTGAGATGAGAGCTGCGTAATGTGTTTTTGAGTTTAGGGTTTTTTTCCTTTCTTTGTTTTGTTTGGGTATAGATGAAGTGAAGTGAACGGTCCAGATCTTCTTAAAAAAAAAAAAAAAGAAGTTATGCGGGTGGGTTGGTCGGGTGCGGTTCAAACCCGCAATCTGTCCGTAACCCGAAATTAGAAATATTTCAAACCGCACCCTATCCTATTATATTTGTGAAATCGCCCATACGCGTACAGGTAGGGTCGGGTAGGGCGGGTTGTGCGGGTCGAATGACCCTATGCCCAGCTCTAATTCCCACCTCCACGTTTCAAATTTCCTTTCCAAACTTTTGGCGACCAAATATCATATTAGTCGCAGAAAAGGTACCTTCGCCGACAAATTTTTTTAGTCGCCAAATCTCAATTAATGGCGACTAAAATATTAGTCGCTAAATGTACTAATTTGGCGACCAATTTTTTTTGGTTGTTGAAAATAAGTTTTTGGCGACCAAATTTTTGGTCGCCCAAAAATATGTGACCTTCCGCGACCAAATTTATAGTTGGTCGGCAAAAGCATACCACTTTCTGCGACCAACTCATTTTTTGGTCGCCAAAAATAATGATCATTCGCGACTAATTAATATTTGGTCGCCAAATGTCAGTTTTTTGCGACCAAAATTTTTTTGGTCGGCAAAAGTGGTCGGCAATTGTGTAAATTCTTGTAGTGACTCTTAAATGTGTTTTACATTGTCTCTTCAATTATTTAATCTTCTGTGATTTCCCCTTTTTGAGTTTCTCTGCGTAGAGTTTCCAAGTTGAAATACTGTTTTTTTTTTATTATTTGATTGTTCAATAATTTTTTCATTACCCTTGATCTGAAAATAAATTAATTAATTATTTGACACCAATATTTCACTAACACCAATATTTCATAACCAAAACCAAATTAATTCATAATAAAGATAACAAAAGGCCACAATGCCTCATAACTAAAATTAATTGGGTAAGTTATTTCAAGAGTTCTCAACTATTAATGAATATCAACTTCCTCTCTCATCTGTAAATCCATACATAATGTAATAGAAATAAGTCATGTAAATAATTTTATTTATTTTTATATAGAACTTATTAATTTGTATATTGCCATAAACCAGTACAGTTGGGAAGTAAAATTACAATCGTATTAATTACTATATTGAAACGTTGATATGTCAAATATATTGTTGAGCCACTGATTTCACATTGTTACCTGTGACTTTCTTTATATTTTGAAACTTTTTTTTTTTTTTTTTTTTTAAAAAAAAAAAGGGTCTTGTTAACATGTTTCCATATGGCATATGAAGAAATTTAAAAAGATTGTACTTTCTTTATTACATGTATTTTAAAATGTACATTCTTTCTTATTACACTTTCTTAACATGTGCCCACAAAATACACGTTAACAAAATATTTTTAAAAATTATATAATATCATATATCAGTAAATAAAATAAAATAAAAACTTTCCAGCCCAGCTTTTTAGTAACAGCCAGGACAGCCCACATGGTGGGGTAGAGGAAATTTAAAATGCCACCAATATCACCAACTACTTTGAACCTACCTGTCTCAACTTTTAATTTGGTTTTTATTTTTGTTTTCTTTGAAGGTTTCAATATTTTAGCTTGTTAGGAAGACAACGAAAATTAAAAAAAAATTTTGAACAAAATTAGTGCTAATTGCGGCAATCATTGACTTATGGGTCAATATTGCAAATAAGATATATAAATAGTGGTCATTCAATTGGCTAATAGAACTAAAATAAATAAATAACTGCAAGCAAATCCTCATTGCTTTGTTGTTTTTGCTAATTCATCATGATCCTAATTTTCTTCATCATGGTCATGAAAATGGTCATGGGAAAAAAATTTCAACTTCTCCATGTGCTTGTTTTTGTGCATTTGCCATACTCAAAACCTGCTCTTCTTGGACTCTCTTCAAGAGTTGAAGAAGATGCTAGAATCAATTGCATAGAGAGGGAGAGACAAGCTCTACTGAAGTTTAAAAATGCTCTTATAGATGATTATGGTCTTCTCTCATCTTGGGGAGTGAAGAAGATAAAAAAGATTGTTGCAAATGGAGAGGAGTGGGATGCAACAACGACACAGGTCATGCCACCACGCTTGATCTTCATGTATCGTACACTTCTTATCAGGTACTGAGCGGTAAGATTAGTCCTTCATTGCTTGAATTGCATCATTTGAAGTATTTGGACCTCAGTGGAAACCAATTTGTAGATGACCACATCCCAGAGTTCATTGGTTCCCTCATTGGATTAAGATACCTCAGTCTTGCAGCTCTATACTTTTCTGGTCCAATTCCTCATCAGTTCAGGAAACTTTCTAGCTTGCAGTATCTTGATCTTAGCTATTCTAATTTGAATGTAGAAAATTTTGAGTGGCTTTCTCATCTTTCTTTACTAAGTCACCTAGATCTTACTGATATTGACCTCAGTCTAGCAGTCGACTGGTTTCAATCTATCAATAATCTCCCTCTCCTTAAAGTGTTGAACTTAGCTGACTGTAGACTTTCCTAAATCACTCACCCATCAGTTTCTTTCAATTCTTCTCTATCCCTTTCTATCATTGATCTCTCTTGGAATGTTTTGTCTACTTCAATCTACACTTGATTGTTCAACTTTAGTAGCAGCCTAGGTGAAGTTCACCTTCAATCTAACGAGTTAAAAGGTCCAATTCCCGATGCTTTTGGAAGCATGATTTCCCTCAAATACCTCAAGATTACTGACAATCAACTTGTAGGCAGCCTTCCAAAATCCTTCGCAAATTTAAGTGGCTTACAATCCTTGGACCTTTCTAATAACAATTTGACAGGTTTGATTCCTGATGCTTTTGGAGGCATGACTTCCCTCACGGATCTCAATCTTCTTAGAAATCAACTTGAAGGTGGCCTTCCCAATTCCTCTACGGATTTAAGGCATTTACGATTCTTAGAGTTGTCTTTGAACAATTTAACAGAAGAGATTCATGAGTTTTTGCAAAAGTTATCTGGGGCAGAAAAGTCATTACAGTTTTTGGAAATAGTTGACAATCGACTTTGTGGACCTTTACCTGATTTCACAAAATTTTCTCTTGAAAGAAATAAGAGAGTGATATTGAGAGAGTAAGAAAATTCTTGTATTCAATATATCTAAAAGTGTAAGAAGAGACTCCATATATAGGAGCTGCTTATACAACATCATTATGAAAGCAAAACATATAATAATAGAAAGCAGCCGAAAGTGAAGGCAACCGAATATATAATAAGAATCCTATGCTCCTATGCTTTGTCATCCTATAGCTATTAATATATGATACATTAATATATAATATATACATTATTATGATACATTAATATGATACATTAACAGCCCCCTCAAACTCAAGGAGGACAAACATCAACCAACTGGAGTTTGGAGACAAGTTCAGCGAAGCGGCCAGGAGAATGAGCTTTGGTGAAGATATCAGCAGGTTGATCAACAGAAGAGATCGAATGGAGATGGACAGTACCATGAGTGACGTGTTGACGAATAAAATTGCAGTCAATCTCAATGTGCTTGGTGCGATCATGAAAAACATCATTGTGAGCAATTTGAAGAGCACTGTGATTGTCACAAAAGAGGTCAGTAGCACCAGAGGGGGTAACACCCATGTCAGCAAGAAGCCAACGAAGCCAGAGAAGTTCTTGAGTAGTATCAGCAAGAGCACGGTATTCGGCCTCGGTACTGGAACGAGCAGTAAGAGATTGTTTTTTGTTGCGCCAAGAAATAAGAGAATCACCCAGAAAAAAGCAGAACCCAGTAGTAGAGCGCCGGTCAGTAAGATCTCCAGCCCAATCAACATCGGAGAAAGCACGAAGCTGGAGAGATGAGCGGACGGAATAATGAAGACTATGAAACAGGGTGCCTTTGAGATACTAAAGGATACGAACCAAGGTAGCATAATGAGGGGTACGAGGAGCCGACATAAACTGGCTGACAATATGAACGGCATAGGCAATATCAGGACGAGTAACAATGAGATAGACAAGACTGCCAACCAACTGACGATATAGTGTAGCATTAGAGAGAAGAGTGCCATCAAGAGGTGTAAGACGACTCTGAGGTTCCAAGGGAGTAGAGGCAGTCTTGCAATCCGTAAGACCAGCACATGTGAGAAGATCAGAGGTATACTTAGCCTGAGAGAAAAAAGAACCCGTAGAATCATGGAAGATTTCAACACCCAAGAAATAGCTGAGAGGACCAAGGTCTTTCATCTCAAAATGATGGCTAAGAAACTGTTTAAGGCGAAGAATACCATCGATATCATCACCGGTGATAATCATGTCATCCACATAAAGTAAAAGCAGGGTGGTCCCTTGAGCTGTTTTCCGGATAAAAAGAGCAATATCATAAGAGCTAGAGGTGAAACTACATTCCTGAATAGTGGAGCTGAACTTGGCAAACCAAGCGCGTAGAGCTTGTTTGAGACCATATAAAGCACACTGAAGTTTGCAGACTTGATGCGATGGATAAGCAGACCCAGGGGAGGTTGCATGTAGACCTCCTCGAGAAGAACACCATTAAGAAAAGCATTTTTCACGTCCAGTTGATAAAGATCCCATTGTCGGGTGGTAGCAACAGCAATCAAGCTGCGAACAGAGGTGAGACGAGCAACAGGAGCAAAGGTCTCCTCATAATCAATACCATATTCTTGGTTGAAGCCTTTTGCAACAAGGCGGGCTTTGTAGCGCTCAATAGATCCATCAGAACAAGTCTTGATTTTGTATACCCATTTGCAGCCAATGGCAGTCTTGCCAAGAGGAAGATCAACAATGTCCCAAGTATGAGTTTTGTCTAAAGCCTATAATTCATCAGTCATAGCTTGCTGCCAAAGAGGTTTAGAGCGAGCCTCACGATAGGAGGTCGGTTCATAAGTAGAAAAAGTAGTAGATCCAACAATAAAGTCACGAAGACGAGTAGAAGGTTGGGTTACCCGATGTGGTCGAGCAGAGGGAGGAGGAGCCAGAGGAAGAGACTCACCAGGAGAGGAGGATCCCGAAGGAGAAAGAGCAGGACTATCAGAGTGAGCAGGTGCATGAGACAGACCGGTAGGCAAGGCGATCCCGAGAGAGGCTGGCAGGGGCGGTGGAGTAAGCGTATCAGAAAACTCGAGAGAGGCTGGCAAGGGTGGTGGAGTAAGGTCATCAGAAAACAGATCTGTGGAAAGGTCAGTAAAAAACAGAGAAGGTGAGGGAACGGACAAACGGAAGGGAGAGAGAAAGGAAAACATTTGTGTTCCCAAAAGACCACATGACGAGAGATACAAAGTCGCTGGGAGAGAGGATCCCAACAACGATACCCCTTATGTTCAATACCATACCCCAAGAAGCAATAAAGGTGGGAACGGGGTTCAAGTTTGGTACGTTCATGAGGTTGGAGAAGAACAAAACAGGCAGAGCCAAAGACCCTAAGGTTGGTGTAAGGGGGACGGGTGCCATGCAGACGCTCATAAGGAGTGTGATTATGAATGACAGGTGTAGGGATACAATTGATAGTGTAAGCAGCAGTAAGAGCTGCCTCTCCCCAAAAATGTTCCGGACAAGAGGAAAACAAAAGAAGAGTGCGAGTAGTGTCGAGAATATGCCGATGTTTCCGTTCAGCACGTCCATTTTGTTGAGACGTGCCAGGACAGGATCGATGAGGTTAAGTACCATGACTCTGAAGGAAGGAAAGAAAGTCAAAATCTTTATATTCCATGGCATTGTCGGAACGAAAAAGCTTAATAGTTTTAGAAAATTGTGTTTTAACCATTGCAGCAAAATTGTAATAAAGTTGTTTGAGCTCAGATCGATTTTTCATAAGAAACAACCATGTAAAACGAGAAAAATCATCTATAAAAACAACAAAATAGCGCGCCGCCCATAGTGGGAGTAGGAGAGGGTCCCCAAATATCAGAATGGATGAGATCAAATAGTGCAAGAGAAACAGAGTCACTTTTATTAAACGACAAAGCAGCTTGTTTGGCAAGTTGACAAGACACACAATCTAAAGCATCAGAACTTACAGGACCTAAATGACCACCAGAAATTAAAGATTTTAAACGACTAATAAAAAGATGGCCTAAACGATAGTGCCAAAGCTGAAAAGGAGATAAAGGAGGAGCAGTGGTAGCAGTGGTGGGAGTTGTGATTTGAGAGGAATCCGGAACATGAAGATGGATAAGCTCATAGAGACGTCCATGCTTACGGCCTATCCCAAGAGTTTGCCCCGTCCGAGGGTCCTGCACCAAACAACCAGTATGGGAAAAGGTAACAGTTAGACCATGCTCACATAATTGACTAATGGATATAAGATTTAAAGTGAGAGCAGGCATAAGATAGACATGAGATAAAGACAAGTGAGAGATGGAAACAGAACCAACATGACTTACAGACAGAAGAGACCCATCAGCAGTATGGATAGAAGGAACAGGAGAAGTAGAAGAGAGAGGAGTAAAAATAGTAGGGTCAAAGGTCATGTGATTACAACAAGCGGAGTCAAAGTACCAAGAAGTGTTACCTGCGGTGACAGACAAAGCAGTAGATGGAGGAGTACCGAAATTCTGCCAAAAATGTTGAAACATGGCTTCGACATCTGTGTGAGAGAAGACTGGAGTGGAAGGATCTATAGGGACAGAGGAAGGTAAATCCTCTGAGGCAGCAGCAGCAATGCGTTGAGCAGGCATTGGTTTAAACGGAGTCCCAGAACGGTGAGAGTTGTTGCGGGAAAAATGCCCGGGGGAGGGACCATTGCGAGAGGCACGGGCAGGGTTGCAGAAGCAATCTTGCTGGAGATGACCAGGACCAGTCTTGTTGCAAAATCGACAAAGACGAACTGGACAATTAACCAGAAGATGAGTCGACGGAAGACTGCGGTTTTGACAGTAGTTGCAGATAGTTGTCTTCTGTGGGGAAGATGGTGAAGGAGAACTTCGAATCTGGGGAGTAGCAAGAACAGAGTCCACAGGGTGCGGATAAAGAGTACCAAACCTGGTTTCCTCTGACAGTAGTTCAGAAATTGCTTGCTCAAGAGTGGGTAAAGCAGTGCGATGAAGGAGAGATGAGCGGACTGGCTCAAAACGGGGAGTGAGAGCCATGAGAAACTGAACCAAGCGTTGTTGGTCACAGTAAGTAGTAAACAAGGCAGCATCCTTAGTACAATCCCATGGAGGTTCAGAGAGAACGAGCTGATCCCAAACATAATACATTTGGGAGAGGAAATCATTAATGGTTTGAGTTGTGTCTTGGCGCATACGGTGAAGATGACTCAGAAGTTGATATTGGTGAGCAAGGCCAGTAGTCTGATAGCGTTCTTGTAAAAAATCCCAAATGGCCTTGGCTGGAGAGGAAGCAGAGTCAAGTTGGAACCGACCAAACTGAAGGCTGATAGAAGTAATAGAAGTATTACGAAGCCAAGTGATGATCTGATAGTTTTTGCTCTCCCAATCCTCCAAACGGTCGATATATTTGGCAGCGGAGTCCGTGGTGGCAGCGGATTTCGTGGTGGCTGGGATGGGTTTGCACACATCCCCAGTGATGATGCGCCAAAGTTTCTTTCCTTTGAGGAACCCAGACATAGCTTGTGCCCATAAGACATAGTTAGTTCCGTCAAGAACAACGGAAATAGGGTGGTTAGAGGAGTCCAGGCGATCCATGAGGGAAAAGCAGTACTATCAAGGTAGAATCTAAAAAATCCGAGGTTACCAGTGAATTCAGAGGGTCGAAATCAGTGGGAAATGAGTGAACGGACCAAAAAAAAAAATGACCAGGAGGCACTAAATTGGCTTGTCAAAGTTGGTCAACAATTTTGGTCAAAGATGACATCACTGCTGCAGATGGTGATGTCACAAGCGCGGCGCACGTTAGCATAGACAGGCGCGGCGTACGATAGCAGAGGAAACAAGCGGCACACGGAAGCAGCCAGGGCTGACGTCAGCTGACGTCAGAAACACGTGGCTCACGTTAGCAGATGAGGCCGCGGCGCACGATAGCACGAGACAAGTGTTGAGGCGCGTAGAGCGCGTCTAAGAACGAGGAAGCGCGTGGCTGAAAGTTCTAGCAGCGCGTGGAGGCGCGTGGAACGTCGAATGAGGATGAATCTGGTGGCAT